GTCCTCCAGTCCCCATAACTATTGTTCTCCATTACCCATAACTGAGGTCCTCCAGTCCCCATAACTATTGTTCTCCATTACCCATAACTGAGGTCCTCCATTACCCATAACTATTGTTCTCCATTACCCATAACTGAGGTCCTCCAGTCCCCATAACTGAGGTCCTCCATTACCCATAACTGAGGTCCTCCAGTCCCCATAACTATTGTTCTCCAGTCCCCATAACTATTGTTCTCCAGTCCCCATAACTGAGGTCCTCCATTACCCATACCTGAGGTCCTCCAGTCCCCATAACTATTGTTCTCCAGTTCCCATAACTGAGGTCCTCCAGTCCCCATAACTATTGTTCTCCAGTCCCCATAACTGAGGTCCTCCATTACCCATAACTGAGGTCCTCCAGTCCCCATAACCGAGGTCCTCCATTCCCCATAACTGAGGTCCTCCATTACCCATAACTGAGGTCCTCCAGTCCCCATAACTATTGTTCTCCAGTCCCCATAACTGAGGTCCTCCAGTCCCCATAACTATTGTTCTCCAGTTCCCATAACTGAGGTCCTCCAGTCCCCATAACTATTGTTCTCCAGTCCCCATAACTGAGGTCCTCCAGTCCCCATAACTGAGGTCCTCCAGTCCCCATAACTGAGGTCCTCCATTACCCATAACTGAGGTCCTCCAGTCCCCATAACTGAGGTCCTCCATTACCCATAACTGAGGTCCTCCAGTCCCCATAACCGAGGTCCTCCATTCCCCATAACTGAGGTCCTCCAGTTCCCATAACTGTTGTTCTCCAGTCCCCATAACTGAGGTCCTCCAGTCCCATAATTGAGGTTCTCCATTCCCCATAACTGAGGTCTTCCAAATCCCATAACTGTTGTTCTCCAGTCCCCATAACTGTTGTTCTCCAGTCCCCATAACTGAAGTCCTCCGGTCCCCTGAATCATTTTGCTTCCCTTGTGTAAGGGAATTCCTGTACGGCGACTGGCACATAGAAATGCGCATGCGCACAATATATAGAAATGAGCATAGGCTCACACGGGAGCACACATGAGGGAGCGTGCCCACAGTTTCTGGCACTAGACGGACTATTTAAAGGAGGCTCCTACTCTCTGTCAGTGCTGACTGGTCTTCAGATAATTCCCTGTGTCCTGCTGTATCCGGATAGCTGGAAAGAGCAGGGCCCTGGAACCCCTCGTGTATTGAATTGTCCTGTCTTGTGTCATGTTCTGTCCCCCCCACTATATTGTACAGCGCTGAGCACACCCTTTGGCGCTATTTAAATACCATATAATAATAATAATACTGACCCGGCTTGCCGCTGACCTGCTCTTGGATTCTGCTTCTGCTTCTGCTCATCGGTTTCTGATCCTGGCTTCCTCCTGACCACGTCCCTGTCTGATGTTCCGGTACCGCCTCGCCTGCTCATTGCTGACCCTGGCTGTTACTCTGACTACTCTTCCGGCTCCAATTTGGCTCTACAGTCCTGCCGAGTGCCTGTCCTGGTTGTCCATTATATCAGCTCTGGTTGTCACGGTGTGTTCTGGCCTCACGCGTATCAGAAGTTCCAGCAAGCCACGTACCCAGATCTTGCAGTTCCAGTGGAGTGCTTCCTTAACCTCAGCTGGCCGTTCCGGCATCTCCTCTGTTCCTGACTGGATGCCATGCTTGATTCACCAAGGCTACACCACCAGTCGCAAGTTCTCCAATCATCATCCGCAGGCACTTGTGTTTCTCCTGTCCCTCACCACCATCTGTTCCACCTTCAGTGGGGCCTGGGCTGGAGATACAAGAGAGGCCGACCTCCTCAATTCAGACTTCTATCAGGTACGTAACACCTTCACCAGTTCCTGCACCTCCCTCCTGAGGACTGGTGACCAGAACTGGACGCCATATTCCAGATGTGGCCGGAGTTGTATGAAGTGGCAGATTATAGTTTCATCTCCGGAGTAATCCCCCTTTTTTATTCATGCTAATATTCTGCTGGCCTTGGCATTGCATGCAATTGGTGACCCTGTTATGTACCAGGACCCCCGGATCCTTTTCCATCCTGGATTCCCCCAGAGGTTCTCCCCCCTAGCGTGTAACTTGTATTCAGATTTGTACCCCCCAAGTGCATGACTTTACATTGTTGCAGTGTTAAACCTCATTTGCTGTGTAGTTGCTCATTCCTTTATTTTATTGTCTTCTTGTAAAGTTTCTACATCCTGCTGAGAAGTTCTTGGTCTGCTTAGCTTTGTATGGTCAGCAAACACTGACTTTGTGCTCTTTATACCGACCTCTATTTATGAATACATTAACCAGAATCGCCCAGGACAGAGCCCCGGGGTACCCCACTTACCACCCCGGGGTACCCCACTTACCACTCCAGACCCTTTGGAGGCACCCCTCTAGCCACTCTGTCCATGAACAAGCCATCTGATCCATGCCTACAGACCTCAGTTTGTAGATTGAGCGCTTATGGGGAAATGTATCAAATGCTTTTGCAAAATCCAGGTCCACCACATCTGCAGGTCTTCCCTTATGCAGATGGCAGCTCGCTTCCTCAGAGAATGTTAACAGATTGCTTTGGCAAGAACAGCCCTTTGTAAAGCCATGCTGTTTCCTCTGGAAATCTTTGGATATGGTCCTTTATCATCCCCTCCAATAGTTTACATACTATTGATGTTAGACTGACTGGCCTATAGTTTCCAGGAAATGTTTCTCTGCCTTTTTTTAAATAATGGAACCACGTTGGCCCTTCACCAATCAGCTGGTACCATTCCTGTTAGTATGTTGTCTGTAAAAATTAGGAACAGCGGTCTGGCTATAACCTGACTGAGTTCTTTGAGGACTCTCGGGTGCAAGCCATCTGGTCCTGGTGACTTTTCTGCATTAGGCTTTTCAACTCCTTTTTTGACACCTCTGTGATGCATTACTAATAAAACAGCCAGGGGCATCCCTAGGGTTGGTGTCACCTGGTGCGGTAACACTTGGTGTCACCCCTCCAACGATCCCCGCAGGATGGATAGGATCTGCGGATTGAGCACAATGGTTTGAGGGCCAATCCATTATGCTCCCCAATTGGATGCGCCCCTGTAGCCACTCTGTCCATGAACAAGCCGTCTTATCCATGCCTACAGACCTCAGTTTGTAGATTAATCTCTTATGGGGAAATGTATCAAATGCTTTTGCAAAATCCAGGTCCACCACATCCGCAGGTCTTCCCTTATGTAGATGGCAGCTTGTTTCCTCAGAGAATGTTAACAGATTGCTTTGGCAAGAACAACCCTTCGTGAAGCCATGCTGTTTCCTCAGGAAATCTTTGGATATGGTCCTTTATCATGCCCTCCAATAGTTTACATACTATCGATGTTAGACTGTCTGGCCTGTAATTTCCAGGAAATGTATCTCTGCCCCTTTTTTGAAATATTGGAACCACGTTGGCCCCTTCACCAATCAGCTGGTACCATTCCTGTTAGTATGTTGTCTATAAAAATTAAGAGTTCTTTGAGGACTCTTGGGTGCAAGCCATCTGGTCCTGGCGACTTTTTTGCATTAGGCTTTTGAAGTTTTTTTTGGACACCTCTGTGATGCATTACTAATGATACAGCCAGGGGCATCCCTAGGGTTGGTGTCACCCCTCCAACGATCCCCGCAGGATGGATAGGATCTGCGGATTGAGCACAATGGATCGGGGGCCAATCCATTATGCTCCCCAATTGGATGCACCCCCGTAGCCACTCTGTCCATGAACAAGCCGTCTTATCCATGCCTACAGACCTCAGTTTGTAGATTAATCTCTTATGGGGAACTGTATCAAATGCTTTTGCAAAATCCAGCTCCACCACATCCGTAGGTCTTCCCTTATGTAGATGGCAGCTCGTTCCTCAGAGAATGTTAACAGATTGCTTTGGCAAGAACAACCCTTCGTGAAGCCATGCTGTTTCCTCAGGAAATCTTTGGATATGGTCCTTTATTATGCCCTCCAATAGTTTACATACTATCGATGTTAGACTGACTGGCCTGTAATTTCCAGGAAATGTATCTCTGCCCCTTTTTTGAAATATTGGAACCACGTTGGCCAGTCACCAATCAGCTGGTACCATTCCTGTTAGTATGTTGTCCATAAAAATTAAGAGTTCTTTGAGGACTCTCGGGTGCAAGCCATCTGGTCCTGGTGACTTATTTGCATTAGGCTTTTCAAGTCCTTTTGGACACCTCTGTGATGCGTTACTAATGATACAGCCGTGACTACAATACCCCTCCTTTTCCTGTGTAAGAACTGAGGAGAATAATGCATTGGGCATAGTCTTCCCTTCATCGTCCTTTATGGGGTCAGTCTTTTCTGACCTCGCTTTTTTATTAATCATTTTTTTAAAGACTTTTGGGGGAATTTTTTTGCTCTCCCCCGCTATGTGTCTCTTGTGGTGTATCTTAGCCGTCCTATTGTGTTCTTACAGTTCCTATTGCAGTCCTTGTAGTGTTGGGATGCGGACAATGACCCCTCTGCTTTATATTTTTTAAAGGTCAATCTTTTTCACTTTAATTTTTTTTTTTTTATTAAAGTTTAGCTGCCCAGGTTTAACCTTCGCTCTTCTATATTTAATGCCCTTTGGAATGCACTGGATGACACCTCCATTTAATATGTTATTATTATTATTATTATTATACAGGATTTATATATCGCCAACAGTGTGTGCGCAGCGATGTACAAAATAAAGGTAGATATTACAGTTACAATTCAATTTGGTACAAGAGGAAACAGAGGGCCCTGATCCTGGGAGCTTACAATCTAGGAGGAAGGGTTGAGCGATACAAAAGGTAATAGCTGTGGGGGGAATGGGCTGATGGAGGAAATAAATGGCAGTTTACTAAGTAGAAGCAGGATAGGCTTCTTTAAAGAGAACGGTTTTCAGGGATCGTCTAAAGGTGGATAGATTAGGAGACAGCAGATAGATTAGGGTAGAGAGTTCCATAGGATGGGAGAAGCTCAGGAGAAGTCCTGGAGGCGAGCATGGGAGCATTGGCAGAGAGGGGGTGGAGGACACTGTATGGAAGCCAGTTGAGGGATTGGTAGAGAGGGGTGGAGGACACTGAGTGGAGGAGAGTGGAGGGATTGGCAGAGAGGGGTGGAGGACACTGAATGGAGGCCAGTGGAGGGAATGACAGAGGGGGGGTGGAGGACACTGAATGGAGGCCAGTGGAGGGATTGGCAGAGAGGGGTGGAGGACACTGAGTGGAGGTCAGTGGAGGGATTGGCAGAGAGGGGTGGAGGACACTGAGTGGAGGTCAGTGGAGGGATTGGCAGAGAGGGGTGGAGGACACTGAATGAAAGCCAGTGGAGGGATTGAGAGAGAGAGGGGTGGAGGACACTGAGTGGAGACCAGTGGAGGGATTGGCAGAGAGGGGTGGAGGACACTGAATGGAGACCAGTGGAGGGATTGGCAGAGAGGGATGAAGGGCACTGAATGGAAGCCAGTGGAGGGATTGGCAGAGGGGGGGGGACACACTGAATGGAGGCCAGTGGAGGGATTGGCAGAGAGGGTTGGAGGACACTGAATGGAAGCCAGTGGAGGGATTGGCAGAGAGAGGGGTGGAGGACACTGAATGGAGGACAGTGTAGGGATTGGCAGAGAGGGGAGGAGTACACTGAATGGAAGCCAGTGGAGGGATTGGCGGGGGGGGGGGACACACTGAATGGAGGCCAGTGGAGGGATTGGCAGAGAGAGGTGGAGGACACTGAATGGAGGACAGTGGAGGGATTGGCAGAGAGGGGAGGAGGACACTGAATGGAAGCCAGTGGAGAGATTGGCAGAGAAGGGTAGCAGACACTGAATGGTTGGTAAGGTGGATGAGCCTGGCAGCAGTATTCATGATGGACTGGAGGGAGGGGTGGCCTATGTAAAGGTAAGCCAATGAGGAGGGATGTGTTCCTAAAGTATTCCCATTCTTCCTCGGTGTTCAGTGTTTCTAGGATTTGGTCCCATTTAATATCTTGGATTACTGAGCGTAGTTTAGAAAAGTTGGCTCTTTTTACATTTCGTGTCCTTGCACTACCCATGTGCCTCCTTTTCCTACGATTTATGCTGAATGTGATTATCCTGTGATCGCTGGTTCCCAAGTTGTCCCGTATTTCCACATCTGTGACCAGATCTGTGCTATTTGTAATGAATAGATCTGGCAATGGATTATTTCTAGTTGGGGCATCTACCAATTGGCACATGAAGTTGTCCTGTAGGACATTTAAGAAATGACGAGCCCTAAAGAAGAATTCCGGGCAAAAGTGTTATTTTCCCATGCAGTGGGTCTGTGTCTGCACTGCATGAGTTAAACGCCAGTTTTTGTTTAGGGGTTTCCAAATTTTAGATATACTTAAGATATACTGACAGGCCTTTGATCCGCCGAGTCTCTTCAAACTCAAGACAGGTCCCTGCCTCTCCTGCAAGTCACTGTCATGGAATTTTACTTCTATGCCCAGTGGTTCGGGATGTGGAACCAGATAGACAACTCTTGGCTGTCCCTCAAGGTGGCCAATAACCTACCCATCCTGATGGAAGGTGTTACCTGGGTGAAGATTCAGATTAACGATCAGGTCATGGAGCGAGTAGGGGTCATGGTGACTTATGGCCCAGTGAACTCAGCAGTACCTATTGTTCTGGGCATGAATTTGCTGAGGGACTTGGACTTCACTTACTATGCAAGTTTAAAAATTCAGGCTGGCACACACGTGGCTGTGGTCTGTGAGTTGTCTTGCCCAACATGATCCGGGCCTATGAAACTCACCAGAGGGCAGTGAGGACACAGCCTGAGTAAGCGGGGGTTGTCCATATGCCTCCCAAGCAAAAGCTGCTCCTTGCACCCCTCCAAGAGGTAGCCTGGTCTCTACACATCAGGGCTCACAAGAAATTGCAAAGAGCCACAGTAATGGTGGAACCCTGCATGGACCTAGTGACACCAGGAAAGTGGCTGGTTGCCTGCACCTTATCCAAGGTCTACAAAGGGAAGGTGCTAATGCAGCTCATTAATCTGTGGACCTCCCTAATCTTACAACCTGCTCATTCCACCATAGAGGACCTCTATGTGGTGACCCGTCACTGCATCCGAGAGGCCCAACCATGGGTGGAAGCTGTCTACAGCAGCCATAACCTCATTGAATGAAACACAATATAAGCTACTGCTGGAACAGCTAGCCATCCCCATCCAGGACGTCCCGCTACCATTACTTCATCAGCTGCTTGAGAAACACCTATTGGGTTTTGTTGCCATCCCAGAGGAGTATGGCTGTACAGAGGCAATTTACAACCTGATTCACACCGGGGGGCGCTCCACCCATCTTAAATGGTACCGGCACATTCCCCCAGCCCTGTGTCAGGAGATTAAAGACTTGATCGGCAATATGCTACAGAGTGGGGAAATTCGGGAGAGCTGTAGCCCACTGGCTGCCCCCAGGGTCCTGGTGTGAAAGAAGGATGGTAGTCTGAAATTCTGTGTGGACTACTGCAAGCTAAATGCCTGTACCCACCGGGATACCTACCCATTACCCAGAGTGGAGGAGCAGCTCTTAACTCTGGGCTAGGCTGAGTATTTCTCCTCCCTTGACTTGGCCAGGGAGCCGTGGTATGGGCCTACAACAGCACAATACATCGGGTCACTGGTCACAAACCATTCATCCTGATGTTCGGGTGCTATGGACGGTTACGGGTAGACCTCTTACTGGGCTCCCCAAGAACTCAATACCCCATATACCCAGTACCTTGGTGAATCAGCCCTGTAACCAAATACAGAGAGCCAAGCAGGTGGTGCTGGATAGACACAAGGACATGGCCGAGGGCTCCGCCCTAGAGAGACTGCCATTGAGACCAAGGGACCAGGTGTTGGTAAAGAATACCATAAGCAAAAGAGGCAGCAAATTGGGAGCGCACCCTTATCGAGTTGAGAAGAAGCCTTTTCCTCTAACTCCAGTATATGATGTGATCTTGGAGGGTCCCAATCCCATCAAGGGATGACTCCATCATAACCTGCTGAGACCCTGTTTGCTGCACCAAACCTGCCGAAGATAGAGAGACACACAAACTATGAATGTCCCACCAGTACAAGAGGTTCCCGATGAATGGTACTTGCCTCCTGTTGTGCTAAAGCTTCTGGCCCCTACAGACGTAGAAGGTGAAAGCCCCAGCACAGCGTCTACAGATAGTCCAGCAACCCCTGCAGTCTTCTGAAGAGTCAGCACTGAGCACAGGAGAAGCAGGTATGGCTGACCCTATTGACCCCTGTCCACCCGAGGCTCAGGAACCACAGGCTGAAGAGATGACTCCAGTGGGGACACTGCGGTCCACCGTTGGCCAGCTTCCCGCTAAAACTGTTTAGTACAGTTTTCATATAGTCCTTTACTGTGTTCAATGCCGAGGACAGCATCTGTCAAAGAGGGTGGGGGGGTGTAGACAAGTGCAGTCTATTTTCTCCAGTGCAGGTGGCGTTCAACAGCAGCAACACTGCAGAGGGAAAGGAAATCAAGAGGAACCCAGCTCCTCTATGGTTTCCTGGGTTCCAAGGGCAGCTATCCAATTTGATGCTGACTTTGGTGGCCATCTTGGGTCAGGCAGAGCCTACTTAAGACCCAGGCTCCCGGGCTTGGCACACATTTCACATGTGGCTAGAGTAGAGACAGTCTCCCATCTGTCAGGGACAGTGCTTAGCATCAGGGAAAGGTTCTAGAGGAGAAGAGAAAGTGCAGGGACATGCTATCCTTCCTGGAAGCCTCCCCAATTGGGTACAGACTGGCCAGGTCGCATTTTGCCTCTCGAGACAGATGCTGTTGGCACATCTGAGACCTACTGTTCTGATACTCCGCTGTTACATCCTGTGAGTGCTGCCGGTTGGGTTGCCTTCCCGCTGGGCTTGTTGTATTACCGAACTTTATTGCAACATATATTCCTGTTACTCGGCATCTGGACTCCAAGTGTTTTCGGGCACCGCACCATGCTGCACCCACCCACCCACCCACAGGTTAATAACTCAAAGGGGTACTGGAGGTGTAAGGGAAGCCCTCTCATCAACTCTCTACCAGGTACATGACATTGGGACATTAGAGTGTAAGCCCTTGTGTGACTGATATGAATGTCTTATTGTTATCGGTTCTATAAATGTAGGATAATAGTCTGTGATTGTAGTGAGGACATTAGAGTGTAAGCTCTGCTGGTTTGAGTGATTCACCTACAATTACATTTGAGTAGCAGATTTTGAATCTCACTTATTTGATGCTCTTACTCTCTCTTTGTGTTCTCTTCTTGCAGCTGTGGTCATCTGATGGGACCAGAATGTGGACATCTTCTAGATACATGTTCTGCGCACTGTCCATATTTGCGTGCCTTGCTGTCATTTTATACTCCTACCATACCGAATGTAAACATCGGAAGAGTTGTCAGGATCTTCCCATTGCCACAGTGAAGATGAATTTGCAGGAACTTCCCATTGCCACTGACACCATTACCGCTCTGGATAATCGAACATTTATCATCTCTCCGTATTATGAGCCTAGACTTGGCCAATCAGTCCGGGTCATCACCATCCTCCATGTATCTGTGAAAGAACTCTACTGTATCTTCCATTGTTCCGCCAATCAAAATGTCTTCATTAGGGCAGAAATAGATCTTCACCGTGACAGATTTGGGTTCCCGTATGGAACAGCAGATCTTCTATGTGCAGAACCCTCTGGGTGTGATTACACTTATATGTCTTTTTCTTCAACTGTCTCTATAAATACAAGTCAGAGCCTTCTGTTTGAAGTCAGAAACCGTCCACCACCACCAATCTCCTTCCAATTTCACCGTCTGTATTTCTACTTTGTATGGAAACTACAACAATGTTCTCCAGATGGTCCAGAGTATTGAGATGTACAAGATTCTTGGGGCCTCAAGAGTCACTATCATAACACCAGCTGCTCTCAGGCTGTAGATAAGGTGTTACATCATTATATTGATGAAGGAACTCTAGAGGTGGTGTCATGGCCAATAGAACGCCATCTTCAGACATCAAATAAATGGCAGTATTCCAAAGGACTCACTGCAGAGATTGGATACTTTGGACAAACTGCAACCCTAAATGATTGTCTATACAGGAACATGTACAAAAGTAGGTTTGTTCTCCTCAATGACATTGATGAAATTGTTCTTCCAGTCAAGGACTGGGACTGGTCATCACTGATGGAGAGTCTCCAGAATAAATACCCAAATACAAGTGTCTTCCGCATTGAGAGTCACGTCTTCCCTACTTCAGCCAATGTCTCTGGATTTGACATGTGGTCCCATGTTCCCGGGGTCAATATTCTCAGTTACCGTTTTCGACTCTCTAACGGCAGGAATAATTACTATTCCCCCAAAATGATTG